TCCTTCCCAGCGGCGCGGAGCTGGGAGTGACGGTCCCCCGGCTCCACCGCGGCTCCGGATGCTTTGGGTCAGCTGCCAACATCAGCCACCACTTTCTGTTTCTTTTTCCGTGCGACTGCTGAAGGTACTGAGGAGCACCAAGCCAAGCAGGGCCGCCAGGAAAACAAACCCCACCCTGATTAAATGAGGATTATGTGCTGACAATTATTTTATGTATCAATCATTCCGAAATTAATTCAGTAACGGCCTCAGGACGTGACGTTAACACAAATCTTCATCCTTGAACAAATTTAAAACCTCATCTAAGAGACTTTGAGGTTCCTTTTCCAAGAAATTCGTTCCCCAGAGCTGCCCCCCTTTACCTGGGGACATCCGACAGTGACGGGGACTGGTGGCACGTGCCCAGCTGTGCCCGAGTCTGATGGCACAGACCTGCTGGCTTTTGGCAGCTGCCCCGGGGACCTTCCCATCCCCGCCACAGTGGCAAAATGGGATAAACTGGGTGTCCCATAAGCTGCCGGGAAGCGATCCGGCTTTAAACCCGCACGGACTGCGTGCTGCACCAACCTCTTCCTAATTCTGCTTAGGGCTGATTTTAGGAAATGATGTATTTGTTTGTGTTGTCCTGTTTAATAATCCAAAGTATGTGCAGGATGCGAGTTTTGTAATTTCCCCCAAGCTTTCTGAAACACAGTAATAAAAAATAGTGGTTGGGAGAATCTCTTATTTAATATACTTGGGATGAAAATTATCTGTTTCTGATTATCCAGAAACAGCCATCCATAAGACTTCAAGATCAGGGCACAGAATTTTCCAGCCGCTCTAACGTGCACAGAACGCAACTGAAATTCTACACGGACCCACGTTTTTAAACATGAATATTTACTAACATAAATAAACAGTGTTTTATAACAAAAGGCACAGATTTTCAACTATAAACAATGGAAAAATATTTACAATTTGCACATACATAATCAAACAGCAAGTGCACGATTGGTCACTTCAGATCTTCTTTTCTATACTTTGAGATTTAGTTCCTTCCAAGCAAGTAATTTAATCAGGTCTGCAATGTCCAATTCTTTTTTTTTTTTTCCCCCCACAAAAACTGCTACCAATGCCAGATATGAGAGTTTATTAAAATGAACGACCTAGCAGCAGAAGTTTTCAAATGGAGACAGTGTTGCTAACTTCTTCGTATTGGATAATAAAATAAGGGTAGCTCTGATCATCATTAAAAATGACAAAAATCTGAGGCTCAAAGTAATTGTCCACACAGGAGTCGTAGAGGTCGCTGGTAATGCTGCCAGGGTTCACTGGTGGAGGTCTCCTCATGGTGTGGTTACCCACCGTGTACCTGCCCGTCAGTACTTTCGCCAGGAACATGTAATGAACTCCTTTGGGTGACCTTTTGGAAAAGTTATGGGAATAGCTTGCCTTTCTGGCAAAGTAACTGCCCTGTCCAAACATGGTGGCATGCTTCCCACAGACGCGCGGGTCAAAGTTGTGCTTGCAGATTCCATCCACCACGTCCTGGGAGGTGCCATGGAACAAATGCCTTTCGTTCATTATCCTGTCAAGCCCGCTCATTTTTTTTGACATATATTCCTTTTTCCTGGAATAGAAAACGGAAAGTGAGGATGAGTATTCCCTGCAGATCTGCAAGGGGAAAGCAGTTTCACTATGGCTTTTGAAAGTAGCAGTGTTATCCTCCAGAACAGCAGAGCTTAAGAGGAGATATGAAAACACAAGGGAGTATAGTGACAGGACATGGGGCAATGGATTTAAACTGAAAGAGGGGAGATTTAGATTAGATCTAAGGAAGAAATTCTTCACTCTGAGGTTGGTGAGGCACTGGAACAGGCTGCCCAGAGAAGCTGTGGCTGCCCCATCCCTGGAAGTGTTCAAGGCCAGGTTGGATGGGGCTTTGGGCAACCTGGTGTAGTGGAGGGTGTCCCTGCCCATGGCAGGGGGGTTGGAACTAGATGATCTTTGAGGTCCCTTCCAACTCAAACCAGTCTGTGATTCTGTGATTTCTGTACGGGTAGCAGAGTCGATCTTCCACTTGGAAATAAAGCTTTTGTGTGAAATAAGTATGTTTTAAAGGACCTAAGCTGATACTGCTGGAGGCAGAGCTCTCTCACCTGCCCAGCAGCAAAGGCAAAGCAGCTTGAGAAGTGCCCGCTTATCTTTGCCCGTATTTCACCTTGGACGCAGAAGGAAATCTTTCTCAGAGTGAAAACAAGGGCTGTGCAAAAATTAAATCCTGCTCTAGCTTCAGAAGGGGCCACGGTGAGGAATTACTGAGACAGGGTGGGAGAAGATGCTCTAGACCAGCATGAGTCAGTCTCTGCTCACACAGTCCATCTCTCAACTTCTCCTGAGATTCTGCACTTCGTGAGAAGGGTGAGAGAATCCCCAAATCTAATTTCGAGTCAATCACAAAGTGGTCAATGGGTGGTAACTGGCAGACCCAGCACCTTCGGTTTGAATGGGACTGACTGACAGGATTTCGACTTTGCGAGACCGTTGCAAGACCCCGGGTCGTCACGTTCTGGGGCATCGAGGCACTAATGGCTATCCTCAAAATAGAGCTTATTTGATGAAAACAACTCCTCCCAGCTCAGCTTGAAAGGGAACCAGAAGATTTTTCAGCTAGGTATCCTAGATTTAAGTTTCTGTGAAGATACATGTCACAAAAGTTATCAGTAGATAGTAGACTAAACCTCTCACACAGGAAATTTCAGGGTAAGATATTTTTCAGATAAAGTGGTTCAACTGAAGATGCTCCTTTTCTTGAGAAAATCCAGAGTTTATATATTCTACTTAACGATCAATTTATATTTCACCACCCAAATCACATATTTTAAGGTTTTTTTCCATTATTGTAAAAGAATGGCATTTGCATCATCTTACCTTTTATATTTCTCCCAAAGAAACTGATTCTGTACTCTCAGAATTTTCAAAATTTTATATTTGGTCTCTGGCACAGTCTTGTGAAACAGGTTATAAATGGTTCTGTAGCTTTTATCTTCCTTCAGAACAGGCACTTGGATGAAGTCCTGAGATGGATCCATACTAATCCAGGTTTCAGGATAGAAGTTCGGAGAGGTAACGGCAGTCGGAGACAAGACATGCGAGGAGGCTGGTTCAGCTGATGGAGAGGGTAGTGGAGAATTGCCACCTAAGGTCCTAGTTGGGGATGGAGAAAAAGGTTGTCCTTAAACTTCCACAAGCAGAGGAGCTTCCCATCACACTAATTTCATCACCAACATAACTTAAACAATTGCTGCTCTTCAGTTCTGTAACAACTTACCCATTGCAAGGCTTGTTTAAAACAAACATGCCAGCTATTTCTGCTGTTTTAATAACTCCTCCATCCACACAGACTCACAACAAAATCTTGACTTTCAGGGATGCTGTTCCCCGTAGGGAAATGTTACTGCCTGGTGGTGCTTAAAAGCCTACTATTGTCATTATTCACCTTCTGGGGTGGGGTTATCAACTACAGCCAGGCAGAACGCTACCAAATACAATGATTTTGTATGTTAGCTATGAGCTAGGAGTGATTTCAACAGCCAGAATAAGAAAAGATGAATAATGTGGCAACATTTGACCTAGTTTCCTTAGAATACAAGTAGAAACATACACTTTCTTGTACAGTACGAATAACCCCAACTAAAAACAATTTATAGGCAAAATTGCAGCTGTTCCACCGCATTATGTAGAAGAGGAGACGCTCCGTTTTCAGCACTAGCCAGTGTCGTGCCGAGGAAGGCTCTCCTATTTTCACTGGCCCAGGCCAGATGTAGATTTGCATTTGCAGTTGCTTATTTTCATGCAACAGACCAGCCCCTCCTCCTGGGAATGCTGCCAGGTGAGGAGTCAGGCAGGGGTGAAGGAGGGGAGCTGCTGCCCGCGGCTGGAAAGCAGCACGGATGCCAGAGAAAGAGCAGACACCAGTAAAACCCAGTTAAGGACACCAACCGTGGTGTTGCAAGGCTTTGTTCTTAATAAATACCTGCACCTCTGTGGAATTTTTCACACTCTTGAAGCTACTAAATTTAGATAACGAGTGTGGCATTTGTGGCTTACGTTCACCTGATGATGATCTGCACAAGCAAGCCTTCCTCAGCTGAGTAATGGTTACTGGTTGGAGTTCTCTCACTTACGTCAATGAAAACACTTTGAACCTGTAAAACCTGCACGTTCAGGCTCTGGTTTTCACACTTCAAGCACACAGCTCTTCAGCTCCTGCAAGCTGATGAGGTTCCCTTTCAGGTGCAAGAATATACGGCACTATCTTAAAATTTCACCAGATGAGTATTTTACCAAAGTATGCTTATAGGAAAAGCTGCTACTGCCTCCAGGACCAAGCCACACCGAACACAAAGGGGTAGTAGGCAGCTCTTGTTAGGAAAGACTACAAAGTCAGTCTGCTGACTGGCTGGCAAGACCCAAGGTGAACCTCAGAGACAACCTTAAAGTGTAATGAACACCAAAGTTCATGAAATTTTTCAGGTCACGCGTGTTCCGGTAACGTATCACTGCCAAAGCATAAGGAGAACACCAGTTCTGACCAGGAGGAAATGGGGAAAGAGAATCCTTTGTGTGTTCACCTTGGGCAAGCTGAGGTTTGACAACATCCAAGGCCAAATCCTGCACATACGCGACTGGATTTTGCACACAGGAGCCACAGGCAAACTGGATTCTCTACACCGTCTTTGTCAACAGCAAGTTTCCAGGAGAACAAGCAGACTCTCGAAGCTTTGCTAAAGGCAAAGCCATTTTTTCCAGAGCGACCCTTCAGGAAACAATTCTCTCATTCAGGCATGATGCTGCCTGAAAAGCCGCGTCACCGCGACTTCTGCACCCAGGATGCAAGGTGCACCGGGACACACAGCTGCTGCTGGTGGTCCCCACTCCTCAGCCTGCTTTTGGCTGCAGAGCCAACATAATTATCCAGATAAATGAGAATCCTACTGCTGTTCACACCTTACCTACACACACGTCAATTAAGGCTGCCTTTCAGAATATTTAATGCTACTGAACACGAACCTGAAAGAACCATGTGTGATTTTTTTGGGTGACCCAGAAATAATTTAATGTGATTTTCTGATTGCAGGTTGAGCTTTTCAGGTCTAGAAAAAAAAAGTTAGGGGGGAAAAAAAAGTCTATTTTTAAATTGACACATTTGTTTTGGATCAGAGAGACAGCAAACTGCAGCAGCACACCCACTTTTCAGAGCAGACTTACTCTTTAACACGTGGCTTTCACCTGCTGGTCAAAGCTAAAAAGAGATCTCACTTTATTTGCATGGATTTGACTCAACTCAAAATTCTTCTCACTGTTTATTAATAGCTTAACAGAAACCCAGAAGACGGATTTTTTCTAAGAATGATTATTAAAATAGCAGTCTACAACACTACAGTGTGCATTTAATAATTTTTTTTTTTTTTCTCCTAAAGCCTATGGGCAATAAAATATCACTGTAGAACCTCATACACTCACACTTGGCCTGGAAGACCAAGCATGGATTAACAATAAGTTATGGATTAATGAGTAAAACATCAAACACAACAAAAATACTGCAATCCTTTGGTGTACTTTCTTCATTTCTTCTGACTAGTGTGAATTATTTGTAAGCATTTATTATACAAGGGAAGCCATTACAAAAAGTCAACAGTTTTCAAGCACTATCACCCACTTCTCACAGTTTCAATTCAAGAATTCCTTCCCAATTTTGTAACAGATTTAAGTAGGTGGGAGAGGAGGGAAATAAATAAAAAAAAAATCTCAGGTAGCATTGTGTGCTAAGTGGAGACAAATACTGACTTCTTAAGGATAGGTCCCACAAATATTTCAAATACTCTTTTGTTCCTTGCTAAGCATCAGTAGATTTTTAAGCATTACAAGGTCTTTAGATAAGGAAAATAAGAATGAGGTTTAGTGCAGAACAACAGAAACATTAGAGCTTAAGTTTATAGATTTGGCAGCTGGCATGTATAGTTATGGTCAAGCCCTCATGAACGTAGAACCCTCAAGGCTCCACTAAAATTAGTGAAATTGCATCATTTTAACATATCTCAAAATTATAGACTGACACTGTAGCAAAAGCCACTGGTAGCAAAACATCAGGAGAATACCTGAAATCCTTGTTTTCCATTAAGATGATACTCAAAATTGTTATAACCAAAAAGCCCACACTTGGTCTTTTTACCTACATCCTCCCAGTACCTCTTCAGTAATTTGGGGTTTCCTTCCTGTAAAACCGTATCTAAACACGTTTCTACCAACCACGTGTTCTGAGGCCCTGACCAAATCCACGTTCACCTCGCAAACAGATGGGGTAACAACTCTGCAAGCTAACGAGCGTTCTCACCCTCCTGCAGCAGCTACAGCTCCTTTGCCTGGCCCAGCACACCAAGCTGCTGGTCAGGCTAATGACTTCCACCCCTTGACTAGCAGGACAATTCGTTCCAAACTACTGAACTCCGACAATAACGTTTCCAGCTGTGCTGGTGAGATCACAAAACCCAGTGTTTTTATGAGTTGTAATCAAAAATGACTACAAGTGCAACACTTTCCTCACTCTGCCTTTGATGGGCGAGCGGGTTCACCCCCGGTTGAGACAGCAATAAAAACAAGGCATGCTCTAATTGTGCTTGAAAACTATGAAAATGTTTTTGAACACTCATTTTATGGGACCGAGAACTGATAGCCTGGCAATCGCTGCGGCCAGCGAGATGCTGAAAGCTGGACACCACTTTGGCAAACTTGAAGTACATCTGTGCTTCTGATGTTCTGAGATCCACAAGGTACGTTATAACCTTTAAATAACGGAGCCGAGCAGTGAGGAGTTCCTCAGGTAACACCTAGCTTGAAAAATGACAAGCAAGAGCTGCCCATATGACCGAGATTTTTTATGATTTCTTCTGATGTTTCTACCCAAGGACGCCTATTTCCTTGCCACATCTCAAGGAACACAATTCCCATGGACAGACCAGCATGAAGAACAAGCGCTAAGTTTCCATTTTGCTGGAATACCTACTGTAAAAAAGGCATCAGCACAATGCACGAGCGAAGAAGGGGTCTCCTCTTGATTTCTCTTCTGAAACACGCATTTTGCTGGAATCCATCTTTGATGTTTAAGATATACTGGTTATGCCAGGTAACGAACCGAACCTCTTTCAGGCCCCGGCAGCTGGCTTCTTCTATCAGTCTTACAACAGGCTGTTTCAAGAAAACAAAGAAAACAAAACCATACCCATGGTAAATTACATGTTCAAAAGTCAGTATTTTTGCCAGAGACCTCAAAGAATCCCTCTCTCTACTCCCTTCCCCTGCTCTGAGGCACAAGCACGTTCAGACCGCTGAAAAACCTTCCGTTACCTGGTTGTGAGATCCGCCAGCAAGGGAGGTTTCACAACTCCTACGCGCTTGCTGCTGGTGCTATCGTATTTTACATGTCAAATGCTATTCTCAATATCTAACCTAAAACTCCTAAATTACTCCTAAAGTAATTAGTTACTTTATTGTCTTTACCCACTGAATGTGAAAAGTAGAACTCTGCTGTAGAACAATTTTTATCTATTCATATATTCTCTTTTTTTTTATTTTCTGTGCTAGAGAAACACGGTTCTTTACCTTCTCCTTGCAGGTCAAACATCTTAAACTTCTTGTTATTTGTGGTGCTTTCTTCCAGACTCACTCCAATTTTTGCATTTTATTTATTTTTTTTTTTCATTTGCAAAGCACCAAACTGTATACAGTGCTCTGCCTTAAGCCTCCTACCATGTTTATAAAGTCAGGATGACACATGAAAAAGAGGAACTTGATCTAGTTTACACTAGCGGAGGTATTTCTGGTACTGCCAAAATTCTAAGACGCTGATGAGGTTTTATTCAAAACATTCTGTACAGCTCTGGCCAGCCAAAGACAAGCTCTTAGCTACTGTAGGTATTATTGGAGAGCTTAGTTGAATGAATAGAACTTCCTTGGTACTGACATGGGCCAGTTTGCTCTCAAATTTGACAATTTGGTCAGCCTCTGTGTCTCCGAGGTTTTCAGGGATAATTCAAGGTGCAGCCCAGCAGAGCAGAGCTCTCCTTTTATTGCTTTTTCAGTTCAACACTGACCTTCTTGATTATCTTTCTCAACGATAACTCTAAGTAACTTTCCTGAATGTTCAAAGAAGAAACAGACTAAAAACGTACATATACTTTACAGCATACGCTGTACACAGAGTTTTGGGTTACAACCAACCCCAAAGCAGAATTCTGGAACGTGTTAAATACCTCGGAGTATTCTCTCCAGCCAAAGTGGTCCCTGCAGAAGTATTTCCAGACCGTGTAGTAGTTGGAGCTGGAGCTGGGGCAGGAAGGTGTGGACAGCCGTCGCATTTGGTCAAACTCAACAGTTTCATATAATTTCATAACATTCAAATCCACCCAAAACTCATGTCCCCTGGAAAGAACAAGAAAAACAAAGAATTCTCACTTTTCATAATCCATTTTAAAAAGATGGTTCCGAGATAAACAAAACAGTCAGGACTACAGTTGGCACAGTCCTCCTCAGAGATACCCTCGGTCTGGCTGTGCTCATGCCACCCCATCCCGTGGGGACATCCCATGGGCTCGACGTGGGCACAACCCCGGAGCAAGTGCATAGAGCAGGACACTGAAGAGCTGCGAGGGTGATGGAACTCTTCAAGAGTTTCCGTGGACAACGGTGGAAAAAACACAGTGTTCAGCACAGAAAGACAAAAAACCAAACCCAGCAGTCCCCCTAGCCCGGTGGTATTTATCCAGTATGCATGAACTGTACAAAAATCAATATACATATCCTTGACATTTTGAGCGTACTAAGTAAATACATCACACAGCCATATCTGACGAAGCAGCCCCACACTATTCCAAAGGTTATTCTTGGGGAAGTTAGTGCTTCAGGGAAAAAAGGAAAACGTAAATGGCTCCAGATGAGGAGCATCTGCTGCCAGTCCACCAGAGAGTTCGTGGATCTTTCATCATGTGCAGCAGAAGAGAACCAGCATAATATGAAAAGAAAACATGATTTCACAATTTTAGAGCCTACCCTGAGGAATGCTGGCTTTTTTTTTTTTTTCTTTTTCCCTCCTCCGAGTAGCTACATCGCTGCTAACAAAAAATCAACATTAATATGCAACTGCACGTAAAATGACTGGCCCTTTCAACAACAGGAGCCTACGGATTAAGAAGCAGAGGATACGCTTTATCTGAAGGAGAAAATTTATCTAAAGGAAAAAACTGTCCATGGAATGGCTCAGCAAACAGTTTCTAACGCTGTTTCATTAGCCAGTGTTAAGAGGCAGACATCAAATTAAAGAACATTCTCAAGTAAAGCATGGAGTTCTAAAGCTCTGCTGATATTAGACAATCACTGGTTTATCAGCAATCAAGAACTTAAGAAATTCACAGAAATTGAAAGAAATCACAGTAATATTCATTCCCTACAAAAGTAACTTTTTTGGAACCGAGATTATCGTATTTCCAAAATAATGCTCTTTACATAATTAGTTTTCTACTTTTATAATCTCTTTACAAGTTGTCAGCTTACTGCTATTCATTGACAGTTACTAATCTCTGGCAACTGGAAACGCAGCTTTTGAGACTATATGAAATATTTTCTCTGAATTCTTAACAGTAAACATAAATCAAGCCGACACTTGAAATCTACAGTTTATTTTCAAAACTTTGGCACATTAATACCATAGACATCAAAGTACTGGGTATGCAGTTTGCCACATCAAGTGACAGCTCTTCTAAACACCAGGAGGATTTTATGAATACAGATTTGCTTGAGAATGGCTGCAATTTTGCAGCTATTTTACACTGACTGGTACACTTGCTACTTCCACAGAGTTCCACTTTACAAAAATGATGATCAGCTGGAATGATCCTTCATTTCTCAACAGGAGGCACAGGTGCGTGGCTGTTCTCAGTGTTTATCATCACCAATTAATTGCGTTTGGGTCTTGATTGCTAAGCACGGTTGGAGTATTCAGTGCTTTCCTGACATGGATGAAAAGATGAGGTGTCTGTTCCTACAGGCTCACCGTCAGGGGATCTGATCCACTGCTGTTGGGGTAAATTTAAATTGCTCTCTTTGTTTTCAATAAGCTTTCCTATGGACTTTAAGAAAAGATATAGAATAGTCCCCCAAAGTCAAATCAAACATCTTAAAAATGCAACGCCACGAGCTCTTTTTAAAATTCTTTGCACACAAAAATAATTCTTTTTTGCAGCTCCCCAGCACCCTGAGACCAAGCCCCAGCCAGCCTGGGTTTTGTCCGGCTCATTCCAGGGACATCCGTCACTGCCCCGGCAGGAAGGGCTCAGCCTTGGCTCCCCTTCACGCTGAGAACTTACTACCTAAAAGGAACATCTTTGCCAGTTGCCCACATGTGGTTCTCTAAAAACTGCCACAGAACCGCACTAATTAAGATGAAAATTTTGTCAAGACGACGCTTTATCACACAAAAACCACGGAAGCTTTAACAGCGTGTTCCCTACTTGCGTCAGCGGCACCCAGAATCATCCCAGTTAGAACACGGGAACGGGAGGAAACCGGCTCTCCTGCGTAGGAGGCGTATCCTAATAACCCGTGTCTTCCCACCCGAGCGGCATCCCACCGCGGGAAGTTCGATAAACTAATTAAAGCTGACATTCCCCAGCCCACTGCATCGAGGGGTAGTCATTCCAGACAGACCTACTCAGAAGGAAAACTGGCCCTAACCAAAATAAATGACCAGTACGAAGGAACTAAACCTTAAAAAAAAAAAAAAA